TCTTGTGGGCGGTCGTGTTGTGAGCGGTCGCGTCGTCTTCGTGGGCAGTCACGTCGTCTTCGTGGGCACTCGTCTTCGTTGGTGGGCGGTCGTCGTTGTGGGCACTTGTTGACATTGGTGTGGTGTGGTGGTGGGCCGTTCGTGGTGGTGGATCTGGTGGGCGAACGGAGACGACGACCTATGTTGAAGTCGTCGCTCGTCGTCTGGTTGGCACGTCATGACGTGGCACCTATGGTTTGGGTCAGCAAGGTGAATGGGTGGGGTGGTTTGTTCGCAGGTGGAATGAAATGACGACGACGACAAATGTCGTCGTCGTCATCTGGTTGCCGGCAACGACGAGCCCAGGTAAGCTCCCCTTCCCTCCAACATTCCTCACCACCACCCCTTTATCATTCCCCCTCCCTTCTTTGCTCCCCCTCCCTCCCTCAATTGTTCCCCCTCCCTCTGTTGCTCCCCCTCCCATTTCTCCCCCTCCCTTCATTGCTCCCCCTCCCATTGCTTCCCCTCCATCCATTCCCACCCCACCCTTCACCACTCCCTCTCTCCTCCATCACTCCTTCCCCCTCCCTCCCCCCTCCATCACTTCCCCCTGTCTTCCCCCCTCCCTTAAATATTGAGAATAGTAAAAATAAATTGTGTAGTCTATTTAATACATTTCAATTTTTCCTGCTCAGCTATGACTGTCATGAATATAGAAACCATGATTACATGATGTGGACTTAGAATTATTTCATACAGTCATTCCATGTGGATTCCATATGGAGTCCATATGGATTCCACCCTTAAAATGGCATAGAACATATAGAATAAAGTATGGATTCCATCTGAAAAAAGTATGGATTCCATGTGGAAAAAGTATGGAATCCATGTGGAAAAGTATGGAATCCATGTGGGGGAAGTATGGAATCCATCTGGGGGAAGTATGGAATCCATCAGCCATTCCATGGAATCCATCTGGGAAAGTATGGATTCCATCTAGTCCATATGGAATAACCCAGGGAGGGTAAAGTACTGGCTAGAGACTACAGTCCTCTCCTATGATGGACCGCAGTTACAAAAAACATGCTGTTTCATAACACCCTGTCGAACGCCAACAAAAGCAGCCAAAACCTCTCAGTTCACTCCCTCTTGACGTCTTAACTCATTTCCAGTTGCTTCAACACCTACCGATGGACGCATTCACAGCATACAGCACTTATTCTGTGGATGCTGAGGACAACACCATCTTTATGATACCCGTTGACGAAGAGTCAGGTGGAAGAGGGATGCGTAGTGCATAATTTCATGGGCTCCGGCATACCCAACTGCACCTGGTCCAATTAATCAACAAGTTAGGCTTTCAGTCCTTATGGTAGGTATTTTATCTTTCCTTTTTGGCGTTGTCTGAAGATTTTTCTAGGATTCTTCTTATGTCATCATTATTGCCTCAGCTTCTTTTTGGACAGTCCTCTTTTTTTTTTCCAACTGGTGGCATTGAATACTTACCATTTTGTTCTGTTACACATTGCTCTCAATAAAGGTTTCCTTCTGTAAACTTGCCCCCTTTTTTGTATCTCTCTGTATTATAATGCAATCTTTCTACCTGTCTATCTATCACAGGGAAACATGGAAAAATACATTCTCATTTCGACTACTAGTCCTGGTGTATTCGCGGCCATCGGCCCCCTAAGCATCTTCCTGTACCACAATTGATAGCAGGCCGCAGAGGGAAAGAAGATAAAAAGACAGCGACCTCCAATAAAAGTGGTCTATTTCGACCGCCAGATGATCAATGAAATGTTGAGAAACTGAGGAAAAGACAACATACTATCGGTTGTTGACAATAAGCCACTAGGGCCGTATGGCCAGCTGAGGTTCCATAGCTTGGTGGGCATCATATCAGCACTTGACACACCTGTACCCAATAGGAAAAACGAATTCAATGAGCACCCGAATATAAGGAAAAAAAGACACAATACATGCCATGTTCCGAAAGTCTCACAATCCAACACAAGTGCAGAACATACTTGGCACTCAACGAAGGGTCCACTTGCCAGATGCGAGAAGAGGACCAGCATAGTTTCTAATGCGGCTTTCAAGGCTCTGAAGATTGCCTTGCTACGCCTGCTGACTGCCTTTGGCGCGGTGGCGCGAACTACAAGAATCTTCTCTCATGCTGGAGGGAAGAGTATCTTCATAATTTTGGTGATTGGCAAGTCTTGCGCAACGTGCGAGTGATTTTTATGTCAAACAATCAAAGAGACCAGAAAGCGATGCCATTGGCTCGTTTTGGCACAATGTACAGCAGAACAACGGCACTGGGTGAGTCCAAAATATCGAGTTGACCTTCCGACAACGACGAAATAGGCAAAAGCTATTGCTTTTGGAGAGAATCGCCTGAGTCTTCCAAGGCCTCCTCATCGTCCATATTGGACCTCCCAAAACCGAATAGGTCCCTAGCCCAATATGGCGACGATGTAGACCGACCAGTCACCAGTCCTTGACCCCCTGTCGATTGTGAATCCACCTGGCATTGCCCTTGTGACCGCAAAAAAGACCTTGCATGCAGCTTAACAGGTGTCGAAAGTCACACCCACGTCCCTCAAGCTCGACTTCCCATCCGCCTTCTCCTTCCCTTTCCCAACCACTAACTCCCTCTTGCTCTCCGTCCGTTGCATCTTGGGCATTGGCTTGAACACGCGCGACATGCTAACCTTGCTGTTTAACACATGTTTCTTATTGACCCTATGCTGCACGTTCTTTCTGTCTTCATTCTTGCTTGAGAGAGATGGACAGGAAGCAGGAACGAGCAAGTGTAGCCGTGTGAGGTTTCGTTGTGTTATTGCGGCCAGAGATCGTGGAAAGTACTGGGGCTAGAAGTAGATAGGACACAGGAAATTTTGTGAGGAGGGTTAGTGGTTTGGGGGGAGGCGGATCGTTCAGTGGCTGGGGATGATGCAGGGTCTGACAAGGGCTGTGCGAAGACTTTAAACCGGAGGATGGCACATTAATCTGGTAGTACTGCCTTATAGTCAGTTTGGCATGATTTGCAAGGGGACACAAAACATACTGAGGCTCGATAATGCCTTTGCAGAATATCTGCATCCAGTTGCGTTTGTCCTTTATATCGCACAACTTCTTGCCTGACAAATCAATGCAGGCAACTAATTGTTACATTGACAGTTTGCCCATGGAGACTCCCTGACTGCCTTCCAAGCCTTCCAAGGTGAGAAGGGGGACAGCCAGCTGGCTGCGGACGAACAGACCACTTGTGTTTCTTTGGCAATTCCAAAGGTGCTACAGTTGGTGGAGTGGGTCTGGGTAGCAATAGCTTCAACAAATCTATATCTGTACTCTTCCAACGATTTTAGCCTCAGGCACAAAGAAAACACATGAAAAACAACTCACTCTTGTCTCTCCATCTGATCCAACAAAAATTTCCACCAATTATCATCTACCCATGATGCCATGGAACGTGTCCAATCCTCCTCCTCGGCCTTTTCATGCAACATTGTGTACCACATCACCGTTAATTTCCCCCAGGCCACCGCTGTTCATTGACATCAAGATCTTGGGCAGCTCCTGGCAGTATCTCTTCGTCATGGATCCCATGGTGAGCAGAAGTGGATCTAGCACAGCGTTTAATGGGTGCACAGTCGACGTCAAGGGTGCCTGGAACGTTACAGGGATGGACCGAGGACTGTAAAGCGTGTCATGATCGCAGCACACGTAAAGTACCGTTGAGAGAACCTTGGAGGTATGTTCGAAAAAGAGGCCGTTCTGGTGTTTGCTCATTTCGGTCAGAGGCAAGATGCTTCTCTCTTGAAATGTAGATCAGGTCATCCTCTGCTTATTTCTAGTGAGTGAGGGAGGTCTGTGAGGGTCATCATTTGAGGGTGCCAGTGATGGTGCAAGGTCAAAGAGGAATGCAGTAACTCCATCACACATCGACATTCTGCGTAAGTACCACTGCCGAAGTGGAGCATATATCCCTCTTAACCTCCTTTATGACGACAATGGTCTCAGTTTATGCAGGAAGGACCTTTTCCCAGGTATGTTCTTGTCCTTTACTCCCTCTATCTTCCATCCTGCCTTGTTGATCGCTCCACATACACCATTTACAAAGACCTCATCCATATCCACCACCTCGCCAAGCTTTCCATTCACTTTCTGAGTAACACAGGAATAGGAAACGAGGCGTAAGTCTTGTCCATCTCCCCTCCCTCCCCTCCTTCCTTCTACTCGCTCACTCTTCTCCCACACACACAGTGTATACTTCCTCGTCCCACTTAGTACCTCTCCATCGCAGATACAAGCATTGACATGAACGGGTTGAGGACGTTAGCAAAGAGGGTGGATGAGGAGGGGTGGGTTGTGGATATCGAGGTTCCGTCAGTGTGTGACTTTCGTATTGATAGCATGAGTTTTGCTTCTTCTCTTTTGCAACATTTTGATGCTGATTTATTCCGAAGGGTATACCGAAAGCGTACCTCCTAGTGTTTGAAAGTCCGGTTTGGTCCGGTTTTTTGATGTGCAGGGGCATTAACCGTAACCGTAACCGGTCTGCCTTTTCCCCAGAAGTCAAAAGACCAGACCGGACCGCAAAAAACTGTGGTCTGCGGTCTTTTTGTGGTCTATAGACCGGTTTCGGTCTGCATCGGTATTAACATCTCTATTAGCTTCAAAACGAGCCCAAGAACGTCAAATTCCGTTACGAATTGGTGCTTCTATAAAATAAGTCTGGTACATCTATTATTCCCAAAAGTAAATTACATTTTAATTCATATCTCTCTCGTTTTTTTACCAAATCGTACGTTCTTTGGTGCGTTTTAAAGGGTATTTAAGGGGCTACAAAAGACCATTCCAAACCGGTCAAGACCGGTTCACGTTAACCGGTTTTTTTGCGGTCTTTACATCTCAAAAATAAAAGACCGTAACTGCAGGTCCGGTCTTTTGCGGTCTTGGTCCAGTCTGGTTACGGCCTTTTTCCAGTCATGAGACTGGACTTCCAAACACTAGTACCTCCTGCACCCGTCCTCCCTGCTGATAACCGGCCCAGAGGTATGCAGCGCCCTGTCGTGCGCTGTGCTTCGGTGCAATTTATCTGCTCATGCGGAGAGCAACCTGGTGATTGTCATTGGAGATGGTGTTGAGGTTGGAGCAATTGTTGAGGACAAGGAAACTGGATTTGGATTGTATCTTTTCGTCTTCTGTGTTTTCTGCTTTTGTTTTTCTGTTCCTTCGTTCATGTGTTGTATGTTTGCGTACATATTTATTAACATTTTTACCTGCAAGGCTTCTCGATGAAGGTCTTCAAAGCGACAAGAAGTCCAATACATACAGGACAGTGTCCACTATCAGCTGCTCCTTCCCTGTCTTCATCAATCATCCTTCTTAGACCCAACGCATGTCGGATGGCTTACATCCCCACTCCCATTCCCATTCCTACTAATTGCAGGATTTGGAGTAGATGGAAAGTGTGAATAAGAAGGCATCAGTCCCTCAGATTCCCTGGACTCTGTCCCATACCACGACCCGACATTGACCTAGGTGGCTCCAAGCTTGCAGACACATGTGCACTCTCAGGCTCTGGTGGTGGAGGGAACCCAAGGACCAAGGCCAATCCCTCCATAACCAGCGGCGACTGACGGACAGGATTACAACACAGAGGAACGAGGTGCGGATACCACGAGCCCGCAAAAGGGGACTGCACGTCCTGAGGGGCAGGGGTGGTAGAGAACCCACAGGTACAGCCATAGATGTAGTCCTAGCCCTACAAGGTGTGCAATTGCCTTGCACACCATTTGCCAACAGATGTGCAATGACCTTTGTCTAAATTTGCTTGCATTCCGCTTGCCTTTGAAAAATCGCCGCGCAGGGCGAAATTTTGGTTTTTTCGGGTGAAATATCAATATTTGGCATCACATATAATTGATTCAGGATCGATATTGCTTCCTCCCATCAATTCCTCGCGTTGATATGATTTCCGTGTGTTGCCATCTATCAATAATCTATTTTTGTTCCTCTTCATATGATTTCTGTGCTTCCTCCCATCAATTCCTCACGTTGATATGATTTCTGTGTGTTACCCCTGCTTCCATCCATCAAATCCATCAAATGTCCACTTCCGTTGTGATTTCTGTCGATCCATCCATCAATTCTTGTGTCAGGGATCAAAACTTCCCATCATTACTGTTTCTATGCATCAATTTTGTTAGCAATCCATCCCCTTGTACTTCTGCAGGTCCAGACCTGCATTAATATGACTTCTGTCCCTCGGATACATCAAACGCCGCCAATGTCATGTTTCTCTGCCATTCGTCGGTTTTTTTTTCTCCTTCCTCCCTGTTTGTAGCAGCTAAACCTCTGTACCCCGGACATGAAATCATATGTCTACGGAATTTGGCGAACAGTCAACAGCCAGTCTTCGCGATCATCCAACATGCATCATCCTTCCATCGGAGTAAGCGCGTGCAGCGGTCAACGCAACTTCAACACAGGTACGCGTCTGGTCACGTGATTGTTCAACCTCATGTGTCGTACAAGTCAGCTACTGTTACATGGATTACTTAGTTTACTTTGTCTATGCCCTTGCAAACTCTACAAGTTGTACACCAAAAAGCATAAATTACTACAAGAAATACAAAAGATATTCTACACAAGAAATACAAGATATACACAACACAAGAAATACAAGAGGTACTTGACACAAGAAGTACTCGACACACAAGAAGTACAAGATATTAAGAAATAAACAATGAGATTGTCAAGTGAAGAGAAAGATATAAAGGTAGCCGTACCAACACATTATGACGCCATTGACTATGGTGCTGGACCAACATCAATTCTACTACTTATGTCGCCGTTTTGTGGTTGCCGATGTGGCTACTGATGGCGAGGCGCGCTTAGCACCTTATGGTTTTGGGGGGCTGGACGGCGCATGAGTAACATTCACAGGATACGAAGGAAAATTTACCTGACGAGATTGGTGAGCACCCAGTGAACGTCGGCCACCGCCGCCATCCATGCCTCACTCTCTCCTTGGCAGCCGTTCAAAGCAGCGCCCCACCATACCAGGCAGGACAGAACGGTCAAAAACGCGTTCTGCCCGTGCCTATCAATAGCTGCCCAGCCACCCTCTCCATCTGTCACTTCACGGTGTACGGCTGTCAGTGGACCTTCTACCTCGACGACGGACCGCCATTTCGGCTGGAGCCCCTTCCACCAGTTCCACCAACCTGCTTCAAACAATGCGAGGTCCTTGATCGGTGGCGCTGACTTGCGACCATGGCCAACCCAATATGCCACCTCTGACGGTCGGTTGTCAACTTTGAATCCGGAGTGCGGCGATCCAACTGTGAAGCTGGCTTTTTTTTCGAAGTGCACATAAATCCGAATGGCGGATGTTAGTTCTGCACTGAGATATATCAACAATAAGTCAGTATACGCTTTCTTAAACCACGTGGGCCAACTCAAATCAATGGGAAGTGGGGGTTTGGGCAGTGGTTGAGGCGCGACGAGAGGGGGCAAAGGTCGAGTAGATGATTGGCAGATAAGCGTTGGTACAGGCAGACGCGTCGTTGATCAAGTGGGCTGGGATTGTGAAGCAGGGCCGTAACCAAGGGCGGTTTCTGTCGGGCCAGACGATGGCGTACTGGGAGGTGCGAGGGGCGAAAGTGGCAGAGATCGTTTTCGAACAGCAGGAGCAGCTACCGTTGACGTATATGTCAATGTTGAAGGTTCTTCGGATGGCGTGATCGTGTTTGGATTGCGGTTCTTCAACCTGGTGCTGTGTCTCATGGGAGCAGTGGCCGACGGTCCCTCTTCGTTGTCATCGCCCGCCTTTTCTTCGTTTTCTTCCTCCTCCTCCTCCTCCTCCTCCTCCTCCTCCTCCTCGTCATCCTTGCCATCCTCATCCTCATCCTCGTCCTCTTCATCGTCATCGTCAGACACCAAGAACGTTCGTATCTTCTTTTGTTTCTTCTGCTTCTTACCCTTCTTCCCATCTTTTGCTTTGACATTTCACATATGTTTTCCCCCAACGTGTGTGCTTAACTCCCACTCCGAGGCCTTCGATCCGCCAGGTGGTTGGACAGAAGTAGAGCGTGGTTGAGCGGCATCCGACGGCCCATTGGTGGGATGTGGTAGGTCATCTTCGGAATCTTCTATGATGGCGCGCGCCCGTTGCTCTTCAGGTGCTGTAAAGATATAATATCAGTAACGTAGTCACCCAAAAACTCACTGTACCTACAATAGTAAGTCTGCAGAAACGAAGTAAATGTGTTTGTTACAAGTTTGAACCCAGCCTTATCCGCATGGCCCCAGACCTTCGGAATGGCCTGTTTGTCAACCCCGTAGTGCATGCTATAAACGCACCAGCTGTTAAAAGTCATAAACCACAAACTGTGCCGACGTACCTGATGGTATTCAACTGTCCCTGCATCTTAGGCTCCGGCCCCCCAATGAGGACCATAATGTGCATTCCCACTGCCTTGCCCACCCCTTCTATCAACAGGCCCAAAAGACTTGGGAGTGCGTTAAAAACTCTGGTAAAGACATTAGCACTTGCACGATTAGCAAAGCAAGCCAACATACTTTTGGGCGGCAGCTGGTTCAAGAAACCTGGGGCCCGAATCCCGGTCCTTGAGAATTTGCTTCGCTTCCTCCCATTCTGAGTGAATGACTTCTGACCATTTCTCCTGTTTGTCGTCACTGAGTTTTCCAAATTCTCGTCGTTTGAACTTGTTACATTCTTTGACGCGATTTTTCTCGAGCCCGTTTGTGGCTTCAAACTCCGCGTCGAAGTCGGCTTTCAACGATTGAAAATTGTCTTTACCCCAGGCTTCCCAAGCTGCATGGTGTTTAGGAGGGGAAGGGTCGCCGAGTAACCTATGTAGAAGAGTGGCGATTGGATCATCCTTTTTAGCTGACTTAGATCGAGGTAGGGCGGGAGCGACTTTATTTCGGTGATTGTACCACTTATAAATTGTCTAGTAAGTTAAAGCATCAGCATATCAACGGTGGCGTTGATTGATGAAGGCCATACATACCTTTTTCATAGCTGCGATAACCTTCCCTTTGTGAGTGGCTTCCTCCGCCGAGAGGATCTCAAACCCATCACTATCAAAGCGAACCATTGGTAGTGCTCCTGGAAGCAACGTGTGAGGGAGAGACCAGTGGAATTTAAGAAAGTATGCATTGATGATTTTATCGAGGGCTTGAGTGGATGAGGCACGAGACACGAGACACGCATCTCTGTAGGTATCGAGGTGCGAGGTGAGGAATGTCTGGCGCTCCCCCTTTGCCCAATTTTTCTGCAAGGTAAGCAAGCAGTGGTGCCAAATGATCGATCCCCTGTGGCTGTACATTAACGTTCCTGGAAAACAATCAACGACAAGAACAAAACAAGATCAAGGTTAAACGTTAAACCCTACACCAACGTTCCCTGACTCTTGTCAGCATTGCTCGCGTCCATAGTAAACTTTTGGCTCAGAGCAGGTGGAAAGATGGGGAGGCAATCTACGTACGTTTTTCTACCTTATCTTTGATTCTCCCGCCTTGAGGCCTTTTTTCACTGTGGGAACAAAGTCCAGAAGCGTGTTTTACCTCGTATAAAGCTCCATCCGTCATCCAAATATCGCAATCCTTCCAACTCTATCAACCAACGCAATCACCCTTTTACACCACCTTCCCCCCATTTTTTGCCCTGTCTGTTATGGCCCAATTGTCAGGAAATGATGCGCCGCCCGCCCCCACCGATGGCTCCTCGTCTCCTAACAGCTGCACCGGTAAGTACCTCGTGTTTCAATCACCCCACCCCCTTTCTTACTAATGTTGCTATTAGAAATCGCAGAACTTCTCTCTCGCCTCCAGCTCAATAACTCGCAGCTACAACAGCTCTTTACTGCTCTTACCAATATCGCCACCACCAGTGTCAACGAGCCTACTCAACAAACCCCGGACAAGACGTTCGATCTGATCAATGCCGATGATGTGCCTCAAAATGTCTCCAGTGAAGGTAGCAGCGGCAAAGACACGAATGCCGCGAGTTGTTCACCAACTACCGCCGCCCCACCTGCCATTGCGGCTGACCCTACCATTGTATCTCCCCTTGCGTCGTCCAACGGAGATCATGATGCAGCACCTGACGCAGCATCCACTGTTACCACCGCTCCTCTCACTCCTATGGGCGCAGCTGTCGTTGCAGCACCTGTGGCACCAGCCCTCACCGCAGCACCTGCTGCCGCATCTACCACTAGGGTTTTCAATGGGGTCACCTACCAATACCCTGCTCACGGCACTTCTGGTCCGTTCTATCTTGTCACTCGCGGCCGCGATATTGGTGTTTTTGTTGGCTTGTTCGTTTTTTTTCGTTGATTCCTTCTGTGTCGTTGACTTTGATTCATCAGGGAAAATACATCTCCCCTTATCACTCGTGTCTCGGCTTCGGTCTCCTTCCGTGTTTCTTCTGCAGAGGAGGGGCGAGTGAGGATGGAGAGTTCCATTGTTGCAGGTTCTGCCCGCCGTGTCTGATATCTTTGTACCGTACTCTTGTATTCCTGTCATCATGCGCGTTCGTAGCCAGTGTGTAGTTGTGCGGTCTTTGTGGTTTTGTAGTCATGATCCCGTTGATATCTCGTAAATCTTGCAAAATATATATATTGTGTTCAGCTCTTACAGTTTGCGTATGGTCCTATGATGAGAGACAAAGTTAGTATACCAGTCGTACAATGTTTCCTTGGCATTTTCCATAAATAGCCTATTTCCAATATTTCCGCATGTGCGAAAACATAACTTGAGGTTGCTATAGAGGTCTCAAAACAGAGGCGTATGGGCTAATACTTTGCATGGGATCTCTAGAGGTATGTTCCTTACTATTTGGCTATAATTTGAGGGACAGGGAGTCTCGCAGAGTAAAAATCAGAAGAACGATGATTGGTTGCTCGCTCTGAGCTCTCATTTTGATAGTTATTAAAGTGCGTGCTTACTTTCCCAACAGCACACCGCGACATCTCAACATGATTTTTACCTCAAGAGAGTCAGAATTTTCAGGGCTTCCCTTTGGTATATTTATCTCCTTCTTAGGTTATGAGCTGCCCATGAGGAAAGGAAAATATCAGATGGAAGTTAAATGTATCCATGTTTGGTCTTGCCTTGCCTTGCCTTGAACTCAATCATTGTCGTTCCAACATCACCTATGGGGTGTCCTCGTCTGTACAACACTCCCGAGGAAAGGCGAGAGGTGCATCGGCGCTCCTCCAGAATATTTTACCATAAGTACGTTGTCTCCTTGCCGTGATGACGCTGAATATGACATGAAACTCTTTTTTCTATTTGATAGTAATCGCAGCACCCTCTGCAAAACGTGGCGCCGCCAGTACCGTAAAAAAGTCAAAACAAATCAGGATGTTCCGAATCCGTCTGAACCCGAGAATGGACCTGGCCCAGGCGAGTTCCATAATGAAATAACGTGCGTCTTCTGCTTATTAGTCGACAAGGGTTACACAAGGTTCTCTTCTGCAGCTTGGAGCCGAAAGCTTTCGTCGAGGAACGCCGGATGCATCTTATCAATGTTACCAATGGCTCACCCTTTGGATATGTTGATAAGATTGTCAAGGCATGCATAAGGGCCCCAGATGGTGCGATCGGCTTATTGACGGAGGCGGAACACATGTGGGAACAATCTCTTTCTCAGATCCGTGACGCCCTGGCGGAGATCCTTCAAGATTATGGTTGCAGCGAGGAGTATAGGACGGCTAACGTGACAGCCAACGACTACCAGAACCTTTTAACTCTTTTGGAGGACGTTCACGCATCTGCCGTAGTTCAAATCCCATCACAATTTGAAGATGGGTATCATAGAGGTGTTTTTACCTATCAGTCTGAATACCGTGCTGGACATCTTACAGATTATTGATCTATTGCCTCAACTACATTAATGTACACCTTTTGACCCACCCCCGAATACGCGTGATTGTTTACTATACAGTTGCAGCCACAAAATTAAGGTTTGGTGGGTACTACTACAATTGCCCTCTCACTCTTCACACTTACCTCAATGCCGAAGGTCTCTCTCAAGAAAAAACCCGCTCCTGCTGCTGCTATACACCCAGATTGTTTCTTGACGCTAGGTGAACGCCGCCGGAAAATGGAGATGGAAAGGAAAAAGCTGGTGAGATCTCGGAGATACTTTACTCCATGTGCGCTAGACCCTGACATCGCGATCGATCTCCCCAGATTATCGAGCCAACGCCAAGGGCTCCATCCGCTAGTGACGTCAAGCATGCCTTGAAAGCCAAGCAAGATCGCGTCTTGCGCCTTTTACGGCCCAGCTTTGCCTCTGCCATCAGCGAGGGAGAAGCGGAGGAATATCTTAAGAAAGCGTACCTCGTTTGGTTTCTTCGCTTTCCTGAGGTAGAGCCGGAAATCAAGGTTGAAGAAGCATTCAAAGATGACCCTAATTACGAAGCACACATCATCAAGGCACGCGAAAAGGTTCGTGTTTCTTTCGTTAATCACGCCCTTGATGCTGAATTCCGCCCAGCTGCTTAGGACGAAATTGGGATGGTCCACTTTCCTCTTCCCTTCGCGTGCCTCCCAACTGGACTTGGAAGAGGGAGCAACTACGCAGTGGGAGAAGGAACTGAACGCCGCCATTCAAGAAATCCTGGAGTGGTACCTACCACTTTTATGATAAAACCTGGGCATTTGCCTGCACAGTCTTTTCAATCCCCCCAAGTGAAATATGAAATGAAATGCCTAGGCTATTTCATTCTTGCTTTGCAGCTATTTCATTCCTACCCACCACATTTTTCATTTCTCCTTGGCAATGAAATGCATTTCATTCTTTTGCCTGTGCTTTTTCATAACTTTTTCATTCTTTGCCAACTTTATTTCTTTTCTTTTCATTCTTTGCCAGTATCATTTCATTCTTTTGCCTGCGCTTTTTCATAATTTTTTTTTCATTCTTTGCCAGTCCTATTTCATTCCATTGCCTGCACCTTTTCATAACTTATTATTTCATTGTTTG